AAAACTTGAGATTTGAATGTTATCCACTATGTCAAGTTGTTGATAGCTTGATATGGCTTAATGTTGTTGGTTTGGACACTGCGCAGTTGTTATCAGATAGCTTGACATTGCTTAAATGTTGTTGTTTGACTCGTTGTTTATGTGAATATTTATTATTTTGATATATGAAGTTGATTCGAGTTTCAAAGTGATTTAAGTTCACTTTGGTTCTGATTTATGAGTTATGAGTATCTTTTTGGTGGAATTATATTTGATTCATGCTTTTGTTATATTTTTTTTAGTTATGATGTTCAGTACACTCAAGAAAATTATTGGTTTCAGGACGCCAAAGTCTAGAGTGGGGTCCATTACTGCACTAGAATGGTAGAGATGAGGGAAAACTAAGGAATCTAGTTTATGTACATGCTGTAGATGAGTGTTTGTTTTCCCAATTGTTATAGAGGGATGGAATCTCAAATGTTTTATTTTGGTACAAACGACATCGTTGTTTACTATGTTGTATAATTTATCTGTTTTTTGTGTTATTATTGATTTTAAATGCGTTATTGCATTACAGACGCAAGTATTGTCTCGTGTTGAATTATGTTTCCATCTCTAGAAAATCAAGGGCGTCTCTCAGGATGGGGTGTAACAACCACCAGCCACTGCACTACCACCATTATCATCTCATTCTTATATTTATTACCAATGCCACCACTATCATCCCACCGCCACTGTTGCCCACTGCCACCATCGTTGCTCACCAGCTCCCGTCATCACCCACCACCGTCGCCACCCCTTGTTACCTTCCCCACCACACCAACCACCACCACTCGTAATCGTCCACCATTGTCGCCTCCAACTCTTACCCAACCCCACCATACCTACCACCACTACTGCCATTTTCCACCACCACACAAATATCATCGCCCACCACCGCTCACACCCATCACCACCATCATCATCTCTCACCACCATCACTGTCGCCCACCACCACTATTACCGCTTACCCCCATTACAACCGGTATTTAAATTTATTTTTATTTTTTTTATGTTTGTGATTTGATTTGAGTGTAAATACAAATATATTTATGATTGACAATTTTGTTATCACTTTGTGTCCTTTCAATCACGGACAATAACTAATATATTTATATTATGTATATATTAATTAGACCGAATTTGTATATATTCACATTTGGTTTAAGAAGTTTAAACAAATTCGGACTAAAATTTTATCCATTACACATTTAAAGTTATTGAGTAGTGCGTGAACTTTCAATCGTGCTTCTTGTTTAATTGTTTGTTCCAAATTCAACAAGTCCCATTTCCAACAGTGTAAAAGGGGTAGATACGTAATTTTGAAACATTGTGTTGTTGTCAAACTTGAAATTGGTGTCCAATCACAACAGTCGTTTACCGGACCGGTTAGTGGTTGAAAAAAAAAGTTTCAACCCCGAAATAGGACATGATGACCAGAAGTCTATGTCTTTCTTCCTCGTGATTTTTCCATGGCCCTGACTACGGTACCGAACAAATAAATTAGGTACCGTACCTCTAACCTTTAACATTTTATTAAATTTTTTTATAATTTTTGTGAGTTATTTTATAATTAAAAATTTATTATTTTTTTAAAAATATTTTTATCACTGACATAAATATTTTTATCATACCACAACAGGAGTAAAAGAACCTATAAATATAGTTAAAAATGACCACAAATATAAGAAGTAGAGGTATGATACCGAATTTTTTTTTTTTCCGTATCATTGTCAAATCTTTTTTTGACATCACACCGGTATTCATAACTGTTTCTATCACTTTTATATTAACTATTTTTATAACATTTGTGATACCCTACTATCAATCCTAAAATGTTAGTGTTCAACGCGTGTCGGTGTGCTTCTTGACGAATACTCGAACGCATGAATTTCTTTCAGCAAGTCAATTCGATCGTCCTGCATCACAATGTAGAGTGTTTGGGTTCAATTATAATATTAAAANTCACCAGCTCCCGTCATCACCCACCACCGTCGCCACCCCTTGTTACCTTCCCCACCACACCAACCACCACCACTCGTAATCGTCCACCATTGTCGCCTCCAACTCTTACCCAACCCCACCATACCTACCACCACTACTGCCATTTTCCACCACCACACAAATATCATCGCCCACCACCGCTCACACCCATCACCACCATCATCATCTCTCACCACCATCACTGTCGCCCACCACCACTATTACCGCTTACCCCCATTACAACCGGTATTTAAATTTATTTTTATTTTTTTTATGTTTGTGATTTGATTTGAGTGTAAATACAAATATATTTATGATTGACAATTTTGTTATCACTTTGTGTCCTTTCAATCACGGACAATAACTAATATATTTATATTATGTATATATTAATTAGACCGAATTTGTATATATTCACATTTGGTTTAAGAAGTTTAAACAAATTCGGACTAAAATTTTATCCATTACACATTTAAAGTTATTGAGTAGTGCGTGAACTTTCAATCGTGCTTCTTGTTTAATTGTTTGTTCCAAATTCAACAAGTCCCATTTCCAACAGTGTAAAAGGGGTAGATACGTAATTTTGAAACATTGTGTTGTTGTCAAACTTGAAATTGGTGTCCAATCACAACAGTCGTTTACCGGACCGGTTAGTGGTTGAAAAAAAAAGTTTCAACCCCGAAATAGGACATGATGACCAGAAGTCTATGTCTTTCTTCCTCGTGATTTTTCCATGGCCCTGACTACGGTACCGAACAAATAAATTAGGTACCGTACCTCTAACCTTTAACATTTTATTAAATTTTTTTATAATTTTTGTGAGTTATTTTATAATTAAAAATTTATTATTTTTTTAAAAATATTTTTATCACTGACATAAATATTTTTATCATACCACAACAGGAGTAAAAGAACCTATAAATATAGTTAAAAATGACCACAAATATAAGAAGTAGAGGTATGATACCGAATTTTTTTTTTTTCCGTATCATTGTCAAATCTTTTTTTGACATCACACCGGTATTCATAACTGTTTCTATCACTTTTATATTAACTATTTTTATAACATTTGTGATACCCTACTATCAATCCTAAAATGTTAGTGTTCAACGCGTGTCGGTGTGCTTCTTGACGAATACTCGAACGCATGAATTTCTTTCAGCAAGTCAATTCGATCGTCCTGCATCACAATGTAGAGTGTTTGGGTTCAATTATAATATTAAAAAATTATATTATATTTGAATATAATATAATTGTATAATGTAAAAAGTTTTTTTTTTTAATTTATATTTTTTGTGATAAATAATTTCAACTGAATCAATTACATATGAGAATTATAATTGTATGATACATTAAAACTGACATTAATTTTTAGGATTAATTGTATGAGAATAGAACAAAATTTTTTTTGATAATTCTTGATCAAATTTATACTCAAATTTTAGTTAAATAGTTACCTAAATTACACAGTTTTGATCATGAGTTATCCCAATTTCAATAACAAAAATTACTAATATTATACATTTTTTGTCAAGAACTACTCAAATTTTATTTAAAAGTTATCAAAATTATTTTTGTTCATATTTAGGTATTACGTGACAAATTTATAATAAAAAATTGTTAGTAATTTTGACATTGTCTGTTTGAGGGACACTATAGAAACATATTCAATACCTCAGGAACCAAAATGATACAATTAAAACATTGAGTATCTAAATGAGACAAATCTCATATTTTCAGGACCTCCAATGCAATAAACTCTAAATTTTAGATTATCGATGTTGCTATAAAAATATTGTTTAAACTTTATATCGAAAAATTTTAAAAAAACAATGCTATAGGGACTTTATTTGGGGACTTAATCTATAGATCTAATGATGTGATATCAATGCAATCATTAGATTAGTTGTAAGTTCCAATGTTAGATGAAGTTCACAGTCAATCTAATGGTTGTATATCATTAGATCTCTAAATTTGGTCCTCAAATTAAGTCCAAATAACATTTTTTTTTAAATTAAATAAAAAGCTCACATTTTTTTTAAAGTAAACCCTTTAAATATTTTTGAAAACAATCATTTGGTTTAATACATGTTTTCATGCGAATAAAAGAGATTAAAAGATAGGATAGAATAAATTGTAAAAATGGATCTAGATTTTTCCCATTATATTTTTATTCATTTTCTCTCATTGATAAATCATCGACCGTATATAAGTATATAAATGATGAACTCAAATTGTAAATAGTGAGTCCCAACTGAATATATGATAAATAATCTACTATTAAGTAAAAGTAAAAATAAAACATTAAAGCTATATGAACTTAATTTGAATACCTAATTATATGAACTTAATTTGAATACTTAATTGGATTAGTTGTGAGTTCTAATATTAGATAAAACTCACTTTTAATCAAACTATTGTGATTGATTAAGTCACAAAAATTAGTTTTTTTTTTATGGTCAACCACAAGGGTTTGAGGGGATAATCGGGGTGGAATCCCTGCTTGGGGGTGACCATACCAGCCTTAACCCATGAGGGAAATCAACTAGTAGGGTTTAAACAACAAAAAATCGCAGGCGCTTTCAAAGGCCGACTCGAGTCATAAGCTAATTACTTTACCACAAAACTGCTAGTGGGAGCAGCGGGACTACTTGTGAATTAAACCCTATTTGTAAATCTCAAGAGAGTCAATAAGGACCTTAAACGGGACACTACCATTCACTGGACAACTAGACTAATTGTACCAAAATTAGGTTAAGAACACGATAACATGAGATACTCATTGAATTAGTCCACACATTAGGCATACTTTTAACATTAATTCAACTGATCAATCAGCATCACCCTTCCAAAAAGGTTTCTTGCGGTACCCTCCAGATAAACTTGATTGAATTTTCTTGAGGACTTCTAACTTTGAAATCTTCATCAACTCATAAATTTTTCCATTAATCCGACTTTTTATTTTCTCTAAAGAAATCCATTAAGGGTTACTCCCTTATCATTTCCTTAAAGAGAAGGAAAACCCAAAAAGATACATTCTCCATGACAGAATTACATAATATTAAATACAAGACATTGAACATATCAGTAATTAGGTTTCCTACACTTAATGCTTAACCTGCTTACATTAGAAGAGCAAAAGGTGTCCCTCAAAGCACACCTGTTACACATAAAAACTTTATACTAAACAAGATGACTCCATCTCCTGACAGATGAAATTGTACTGGCTAGAATGAGCTGAGGGGAACATCGTAAGTAAGCGAATATATGTAAACCGATTCAAAGATGACTGTTCTTGCGTTTAAAGGGACATTTGTTTACCATTACTAAGTTGTTAGCTGTCTTTATCAAGTTTTGGTGATAGTTTCACCATTGTTGGTTGCTTGATCATCTGAGCTGCAGATCCTCTCCAATTCTGTTATTCATGACTTCACTCAAACCAATTGAACTGTTCCCAGTCACAAAAAACATCATTATCAGCAGGCACATCCCAGCAATCTTTTTCCATGTTTTGAGAGGGATTGGCATGGTCTCCGGAGGATGAGCTATCCGGTGAGCTTGTTCTCTCCCTCATTGATTGGTTTTGAAGTGATGATGTCGTTGCCTCGTTGCCATGATGAGGTTGGTGAACTATTGCCTCACCTCTCATCACTTGTCCTGGAGGTCGTCTATCAAATGCTCGCAAGGATTTTGATTTTAAGTAGATTCGACACAAACTGAATTCTTGTCTTAACTGCATGATATCAGAAAACAAAATCATCAAAGATGAAATAGGTAGAAGAAATTCTGAAAGGGATCATTCAAATTTAGCAATGGTAACTAAGAAGACACTAGGAAAAAAAAAACACACACACACACACACACTTAAATTGGTGCAGCACAAGGCCTTACTTAATCATAGGATCAAATGAAAGAGATACCCCATAGTTGGCTGGCTCTGAATCTTTGTATCAGATTCATATAAATAAGCTAGATTTCAAATGAAGTAAAGATTGCATGTATTACCATTAAAACTTCTTTTCATCTTTATCATCCAATCAAATGTTTGGTAAGATGTTGAGCTAGAATGTAATTCTAGAAATCAATTTTTTTCTTGCAGAAACCAAGAAAAACTATTATAGAGAAATTTCTGGGTTTGAATTATCCAGATGAAGTAATTAAGAATTGTAATCATTCACTGTAAGGAACTTGTCTGTGGTAAGGGTTTACCCTGTCTGTAGATGCCTAGATGGTTGCAAGTTAAAACCTTATCCTCTCCCTCTTTCCCCCAAAAAAAGGCATATGGTATTATTATGTATGTGTATACATATATGCTATCTGGTTGACACAATTTATTCCTTCAGGTTTTCAAGCTAATGTCGGTGTTGTTATCATGTATACATATATATATGAGGAGGACGAGGAAGAGGATGGAGAATGGTTTTCAAGATCTTATTTTCTGAGGTTTATTTACCCATCAAGATCCAGGAGAAATAGGAGAGAGAATGGTTTTCAAGATGCTATTTTCTGGGGTTATTTACCCATTAAGATCCAATCATATTTCCAATTTGGTTGTGGTGGTAAACCTAGAATAAGTCACACACCTTTGGAGTTGTACTAGTTGATGAAGAAGCTTCTCCTTTAATGGCTTTATACTCATTCATCTTCCATTCAGTCTTCCTTCCACTTGGAGCTCTTCCTGTGTAGAAAACCATTGTTTTCTTCATTCCAATTATTCGATTATTATCGGAGAAAACAGACCCCGGAGATCCAGTAGCTTTCCAGTATCCGGAAGCCGTGAGCCTATTTGGTCTTCCTCCACGGGTCTCTTTCTCTTGTCTAGGGATGAAGAAGAACCACTGCTCAGTGTCTCCTTGACAAAACTCTCCTGCAAATACTGACCCCCAAAACAGCATGGAAATGAGATTCCATGATCAATTCTAGTACTGTCTTTGATGCTTAATTCAAAAGAGAAAAAAAAGTAAATCAAAAGCTTATTTTGAGATCTTCATGAAGCACAGGCCACAAGCTTAATTAGGAAAACAAAGAGAGAGAGGATAATAAACAAAGTGGAAACTAAAGTTTCAAATATTTCTTTTATCTTGACAAGAGTTAAGAAAATAGAGCTTTTTACTAAACCTTGGCAAAATAAAAAAAAAAAATTGAGATTGTGTAGTTATATTATCCAAAAAAGAAAAAGAAAACCAAAGAAAATGAAAAAGAATAATGGTCAGGATGAGATTAACTTGAAAACTCCATAGAAAAACAAGAAGTCATTCTGAACTTCCTATTAACTTCTCCCAAGAGGCTGTGTTTAGGCATTTTGCACAGAATGAACTGAGTAAACACTAAAGATATTTAATTGGATATTAAAAATTTAACCAGACGATCCAAATGAAGAATACTTGTTTTTGAGGATCATGAAACTGAAAAACAAAAACAAAAAACATGAGAGAAAGATGGGTATTTCACTAACGTGGGAGGTCCCATGGGTTGTACTCGTAGATATCGACAACAGGTATAACCCGGTCGAGATCTTGTCTCCTTCCTTCTAGCATGTTATGCAGATAAAACGAAACCAATTCGTTTTCTGTTGGGTAGAATCTAAAACCAGGTGGGCGATCTTCCATTACCTCCCTCAAGCAGCTGCTGTTCTCTTTCTAGCTATGTATGTATCAAACTTGGCTCTTAAGTTGCATCTAATTCTTCTGCTGTTGTTTATAATCTAAAACTTGTGGCCGATCAGCCATTGCCCTCTCTCTCTCTCTCTCTCTCTCTCTATAAAATAGGTGTATGTGGTGTAGATACACCATATACATTAAAAACTTAGGTCTTAAGTGAGAGACTGAGTTCACGTACGTTTTGGTTTTATACTGACAGTGGAGGGTTATGTCGGGTCATTTGCACAAGGGTTAGGCAGAGGGAGAGAAAGGAGAGAGCCGAGTGAAATGAGAAAAGTTGAGCAAATTCTGGCTGCTCCGAAACTTCCACACGGTTATGTGGAAACTACTTCACCCCCTGCCCCATGTCTTCCGTACAGGACCTTAAACAGAACTAGTCAATCTGCTATTCCATTTTATCTATGGTCAAGCCATCCTCTCCTGCACCTGGCAGACTTCTATTAGTCACTTAAAATATCATTTGATCAAAAAATTAGGTTTAATTTTTAAGTTCAATTTGAAAAAATTATACTGTTATTATTAAGTCATGTAATTCGGTGTTTTAATTTTGGGACATAACGTACTATAATCTTTAAATTGATGGTATAATTAATTAAATCTTTATATTAAATTCTCAAATTAGGTACTACTAACATTATTCTTTCAAACAACTACATATTGCTCGTGAGATAAAAATATATATTTATTTGTTTTCAGTAAGCTTAAAATTTTTATTTGTTCCTAATTGCATGATCCAAGGAAAAAATCATAAATATTAAAGTAGGATTGTCTAGAGTTACTCCAACTATGCATATTTTAAAGGTCAATGTTATTATTGGGATTTAAAAATTTAAGTTAATATTTAGATATAATAATGTGATAAGTGATAAAATTTCATTAAAAAAGGCTAATTGTTTAATTACAATAATGTTATTAGATTATATCAACTATTACAACATTAATTAATCCAATATTTTAAGTGAAATTTGCAGGTGTGAATAGTAATTTACGAGTGACAGTGCTCAGAATAATTTTCAAGCATGAGGTCAGACCAGGAGGTCAGACAAGCAAGTCTGGAAAAGAAGTTAGGAAAGACACGCAGAGCCCAAGTCAGAGCTAGAGCTTCCCCACAAGGCGTGCCAACAACAGAAGTGATAAGTAAACAGATAGATGATAACAGAAATCTGTTAGGTGGCAAAGAGTCATACTCAAGGCATAAAATCTTTAACCAGTCAAGATCCTCTGCTAAGATTAAGGAGAGTTCCCCGGATAAATAGCAAGTATCTCGGTGCAGATCTCATTGAACTAGAAACAACCCTATAAATATTATGTAACTCTCCCAAAGCAGGGGGGGAACCCTATCCTGTAAACCCTCTGAATAGTTAGAAAAAAGAAAATGAGCAAGAATCTTCATTGAGGAGTGGACTAGTCAAACTTCTAAGCTGGTAAACCACTATACTTTTATTGTGCAAGTCTCCCCTCAATCCCCCAGTAATCTCAACACACGAACTACCCGAGCCTCGCAGCTTAGATTCCAGTTGTCAAGTGTAATCCATTCCCTCTACTTATCCACACTAATTTACACCATCAGTTTGGCACCGTCGGTGGAAACGATTCTTCCTGTTACAAATACGCTGATCTTTTAATGACTAATGGTTTCAACCCGTAACATGAGCAGAAGCTAGACTCATCTACCACGAATGCAAGAACAACAGGAAGCCACCAACAATAGACAGCCTGAGAATGTCCCAGGGGCAAATCCCCCCATGGGGAATCCCTACACAAACAATGAGTTGGAGGCTCTTCGTCTAGTTAATCAACACCTAATACAGTAGAATGAAGAGCTCTTGAAGCTCTTGCAATGACCCGAGGAGGCATGACCGGCCCAAGAAGGCCAGAATAACCCCCTCACAGAGAGCAACAACATCTCGACCCCCTCAGAGAAGTTGGTGAAGGAGGGGAAAATAGTTAGACTTGGGGACAAGATTCTCATCCACCCCAAAGGAATGGATGCAATGAAGAGGTGCAAAGTCAAAACATTGGGGAAGAAAGGACTGATTTTCTCCCCTATCAACAGGAAAGGAGAGAGCGGTACTAGGAGCAACGCTTTAATGGCATCCAGCAAGAGTTCAGCCATATGAAGGAAACTATGAAGAATAAGGTTCCAGTGACAATGGATGCCCTGGTGCAACAAAATGCAAGCATGTTGCATTTTTCCCTCCCCCCAAAATTCCAGATGCTACAGATAGAGATTTTGATGGGACAAAAGACCCTGTGGACCACCTATATACTTATAAAAACTAAATGGAGCTCCACGAATACCAAGACCCGGTGTGCTGTAAAGCTTTCGCCATCACGCTAAAAGGGTTAGCCCTGGCATGGTTCAATAGGCTCCCCCCGGCCTTAATCTCTTCCTTTAAATAACTTTCTACATCCTTCGTATCTCACTTCATAGGAGCTCAGATATACCGGAAGTCAAGCTACCACTTATTGAACGTGAAGCAAGGACCCCAAGAGAACCTCAGGTCTTATGTCCAGTGGTTCAACTCGGAGTCCCTAAAAGTGGATGTCCCAGATGAGAAGTTTGTCATTACAGCGTTTATAGCTGGTCTAGGCGTACAATCCAAAGATCTGATATTCTCTATTTCAAAGAATCCTCAGGCAACCATGGCTGAGGTATTGGCTAAGGTAGAAAAATACATAAACGGTGAGGAAGCCCTCCTCTCAAAGGTGGGAAGTTTATCTATGCAAAAAAACAAAGTAAAAGAGGAAAAGAAAAGGGATCAAAGTCCCAGAAGAGAAAGAAGACGTGATAGGTCTCCAAGAAGGGACAGAGATCATTCCCCCAAAAGGAGAGTAGATGTCAGAGATCACTTAGGTCCGCCACAGCCAGAGCTACAACCAATGTACGCACCTCGGCAGCTCCCCCCACTCACCGCAATGATATCTCAAATCTTATATGAGGTGCAGAGCGAGAAGTTTCTAAGGTGATCACCTCGGATGAAAGCAGACCTAGTAAAGAGAGATCCCAAAAAGTATTGCGAATACCATAGAGATCATGGCCACCATACTGATGATTGTATCCAACTGAAGAAAGAGATTGAGCTCTTGATCTAACAAGGTCAGTTGTGCCGTTATGTAGCTCAGGATAATCAAGATCGAGCCCCTCTAACTCCACCACCTTAGCAACAGGCTCCTGTGTTGCATCAACAACCCCTGGGCGAAATTAGAGTAATTTCTAGAGGATTCGCAAGGGGTGGGGAGTCCAGTTCTGCCCTAAAGGCTCACCTGTGCAGAATCAGAGCTGGCGAAGCGCTGGAAATACACACTGTGTCCAAGGCACCTCGGCTGAACACTACCATCACCTTTTCAGACTCAGATTTGGAAGGCTACCAACACTCCCTTGATGACTCATTGGTGGTAAGAGCTGTTGCGACTAATAGAATTGTTTATCGAGTTTTAATTGACAACGGGAGCTCAGTAGATATTATATTCGCATCTGCGTTTGACAAAATAGGTATAGCTAGGGAAAAGCTGGAGCCGGTCAGTGCTCACCTATTGGGATTCACAGGAGAGAGGGTATTGTCCCAGGGTTCAATCCGGCTCGTCCTCACTATGGGAGATCCTCCCTATCAGGCCACCACTACAGTAAGGTTCCTAATGGTGGATGCCCCTTCTGCATATAATATACTTCTCGGGAGGCCCTCCCTCAACGTGATGAAGTCAATCCCCTCTGCCTATCACTTGGTTATGAAATTTTTTACGAAAAATAGAGTTGGAGTGATCCGAAGAGACTAGCGAGTAGCAAGGGAGTGCTACATGACCTTGATGAAACAAAGAGAAGTCGAGAATGTCCAGCTACATAAGCTAGATATGAGGGACGAACTGGATACTAGGCCAACACCATCAAAAGAGCTAGAGTCTGTTCAGATTGATGAGGAGCCAAAACATCTTGTTTACGTTGGGTCTAAGCTAAGCAAGGAAACAAAAGACCTCCTCATCCAATTTCTAAAGGAGAATATGGTAGTATTCACCTGGAAGCAAGAAGACATGGAAGGAATCGACCCCTCCATTATCACACACAAGCTCAGTGCGAATCCCACTTGTAGAACGGTTAAGCAAAAACAAAGGAGTTGTGCCCTAGAATGCCAGAAGGTAATCAATTAGGAGGTCAGCAAACTTCTCCACGCCAGAGCCATTAGGGAAGTTGACTACCCCACCTGGCTAGCCAATGTGGTTCTTGTCAAGAAAACCAACGGCTAGTAGCGACTGTGCATTGACTTCACTGATCTCAATCGAGCATGTCCCAAGGACAACTTTTCTTTACCTCGGATAGACCTGATAGTAGATGCCACAACTGGACATGAACTCCTCAGTTTCATGGACGCTTTCTCAGGATATAATCAGATAAGAATGGATCCAGCCGACCAAGAAAAAAACTTCCTTTATAACCGAGCAAGGAACGTACTGTTACCAAGTAATGCCTTTTGGACTAAAAAATGTAGGAGCCACCTACCAATGTCTAGTGAATCGGATGTTCCAAGGCCAAATTGGAACAACCATGGAGGACTACATTGACGATATGCTGGTGAAATCACTGAAGGTAGAGCTCCACATTGCACATCTAGCGGAATCGTTTCAAATCATTAAGCAATACAAGATGAAACTCAATCTTGCAGAGTGTGTCTTCGGAGTATCTGCAGGGAAATTTTTGGGTTTCATAGTCAATAGTAGAGGAATTGAGGCTAACCCAGAAAAGGTAAAGGCAGTCTTGGATATGCAACCACCTTCTAATGTAAAGGAGATCCAACGCTTGACAGGAAGAGTAGCTGCCTTGAGTCATTTTGTTTCCAGATCAAGTGATAAATGTCAGCCCTTATTTCAGATCTTAAAAAAGGTGTTCCAATGGGATTTTCGATGTGAAGAGGCATTCAAAACCTTGAAGGCTTACCTGAGCTCTCCTCCTATCC